CGACGGCGGGAAACTTGTCCATCTCTTACGCCAACGACCTTGGTACTATTGCAGCATTTATATTATTATATTGGCAACACTGGCTTACTGCTAATCCTACTTTTTAGAACTATAAATCCGTTTAACAGTTAACAATTAAAATATAAATTGCAATTTTTGGTGACAACAGCTGTCAAGTTTTGCCGCGGGTAAACTCACACAGTTTTTTCACCTAGAAACCATTTGTAATTCAAAATTGCGCGTTTGTGATTGGTGGAAATTAAGACGAGGGAAATAGTCAATAATATATATTATTGACAGTGTCAAAGTATTTAATTAAATTCTTTAGCAGAAGCACCATTTTTAAACAAAGTGACTAGAAGTACACCGGGAGTACCGCCATTAAACGTACACCGGATGGAAAAAAATCCTTATTTAGCATATTTGTCAATTGTATAATATTAAATGGTCACTCAATGGGGCGGGGGGCCCAATGGGGCGGGGTCGGTTGGGTTGGGTTGTTGAATTTGGGTTGCTTTGGGTAATTCATACTGACATTTCATTAATTTTGTTGTTAATTGTATTTAAGGATATGTTCCGTAAATACACACGAGTTACCGGTCTGGTTACTGAAATAAATTCCTGGTTTTCTCGGTTAGTTCATATTTACGGGACACCTTTATTTGAAAAAACATAACCCATGAGTTGCAACTTAAGATTTTTTATTGAAACTTTTATTTGTGTCAAAAACTACAACTTGCATATATTTTTAATAATATTTCTATAATTAGGGTATGTTCCGTAAGTCAACTTGGTTGGTTTGGTTTCGGTTAAGGTGTCCCGTAAATGAAAAATTCCTGAAAATTATGTAGTTAAGAAACGCGGTTCCTGAAAAATAGGTTAACCAATCGTTACCGAAACGACCGACGCTGTATGATCGGTTAAATCGGTTACCAGTGCTGCAAACCAAATGGAAACAGTGTTGCCCTAATCAAAATTACTGTTTTTTGTTGGTTATCGATAATATCTAACCTTAAAATTTAACACAGGAGCAGACTTCGCATACAAAATACGTTTTGTCCAAAAATAATTGAATTCAGTATATAGGGTGTTTTAGGTTTGTTTATGTAACTATAGAAATATTATTAAAAATATATGCAAGTTGTAGTTTTTGACACAAATAAAAGTTTCAATAAAAAATCTTAAAAAAGTAAGTTGGGTTATGTTTTTTCAAATAAAGGTGTCCCGTAAATATGAACTAACCGAGAAAACCAGGAATTTATTTCAGTAACCAGACCGGTAACTCGTGTGTATTTACGGAACATACCCTTACATAAACAAACCCAAAACACCCTATATACTGAATTCAATTATTTTTGGACAAAACGTATTTTAATGCCTACGTGTAATGGTGGGTAAAAAAGTTGTTTAGAGAAAGTGTCTCTATTTAAAGTTTCAGAGAATAGATTAATTTTTTGGTAAAAGAAAATACCGATCCGGCCGGAGCGATCCGGCCGGATCGGTAGTTCCGGCCAACTGGCCGGATCGGCCGGATTTAGTGGTACCGCCGGAATTCCGGTGCATCCCTAAATAGGTATATAAAAGACTATCGATAAACTATCGATAGTTTCGATATTTGAAACTATCAACATCGAAACTATCGATATTGATTTTTTCCCACTATCGCGAACACTAGTATTTTGTATGCGAAGTCTGCTCCTGTGTTAAATTTTTAGGTTAGATAACCAACAAAAAAACAGTAATTTTGTTTAGGGCAACACTGTTTCCATTTGGTAACCGATTTAACCGATCATACAGCGTCGGTCGTTTCGGTAACGATTGATTAACCTATTTTTCAGGAACCGCGTTTCTTAACTACATAATTTTCAGGAATTTTTCATTTACGGGACACCTTAACCGAAACCAAACCAACCAAGTTGATTTACGGAACATACCCTTAATTAGTGTTGTCACTGAAAAAAAATGTTTTTTTAGAAAAAAAACAGAGGTCCTTGTTTTTTTTTCAAAAAAAATGTTTTTTTTTCAAAAAAAATGGTCAAAAATACTCAGATTATTTAAAAAAATATATTGAAATAAAAACATAACAAAAATTCTAACAAAAAGAGGTAAACAAACTTTTTTAAAACAAATAAAATAAAAATTAAGTAAAAATATATAAACATTATAATAATTAATCTGATTGAGATTCAAAGTCAAGCTCGGACGATGTGTCATGTAAACTAAATGATGAATCGTCCGAGCTTGAGCTTTCTTTCTCATCAGATTTGTAAGCATCTATATATAGATCTATAGATTTACAATTAGATCTATAGATTTACAATTAGAATTTGTCATGTTGAACTTTAGTTCAAGTGATTGAAGTTACATATGTTAAAAAATTGCGTCCAATAGGTATACCTAATGAATTTTTAATCCATTTTTTAGTTAACAAATTTGTTTTTGCATCAAAATATATTAAGTGACAGGATTTTCGAAATGTCACTGCTGAGGAAAGAATTTTTGGCACATTCTGTCACTAGAAGAATATTAAATACTAATTATAGTTTCTTACTTACCGTTAGTAATATTCTTAAACAAATTGTTTAACGTTGTTGGCTTTCGCCCTGAGCCTTCCCTTTTCGGCATTTCTACCAACTATGCATCAACCTATAAAGCCGCAGGTGTTAACTCTTCTATTATAATACCGTATAGACTATAGTCGATACGATATGCTGAGTCAGCATTGCCGACAGCGAGGCGCCCTTTTACCATACGTGCACAATCCACATTGGATTGTGCATACGTGGATGGGGATGAAAAAAAACAACTTTTTTTTTCACGTGTTTTTTTTTTCAACTGAAAAAAAACGTTTTTTTACAACACTAATTTTAATCAAATTTTGATCAATGTTTATACAACTTGAAAGTTAGCTGAATAATTACATAATTAATATCAAGACTCTTCAAAATTTCAGTGTAGCCAACATATTATAATTGAATGTACCCAATTGGGAATTTTATTTTTTTACCATTGGCAACATCGACCGCATTCCTTGCATATGGTCGGCTACACTGAAATTTTGAATTTCCCGCACAATCTGACATACATTCTAGTAGTTCCCAGAGATAAAGAAGGTAGTTCCAATGTTGTATAATAAATTAAGGTGCGAATTTCAAATGTGGGAATTAATATTATTTATTATTATTAAAAAAAAAAAGATGGAAATTAATTTAGTTTGTGCGGGAAATTCAAATTTTATTTTTTTACCATTGGCAACATCGACTGCATATGCAAGGAATGCGGTCGATGTTGCCAATGGTAAAAAAATAAAATTCCCTATTGGGAACATTCAATTATATTACGTTGGCTACATTGAAAATTTGAATTTCCCGCACAAACTGACATACATTCTAGTAGTTCCCAGAGATAAAGAAGGTAGTTCCAATGTTGTATAATAAATTAAGGTGCGAATTTCAAATGTGGGAATTAATATTATTTATTATTATTAAAAAAAAAGATGGAAATTAATTTAGTTTGTGCGGGAAATTCAAATTTTCAATGTAGCCAACGTAATATAATTGAATGTTCCCAATAGGGAATTTTATTTTTTTACCATTGGCAACATCGACCGCATTCCTTGCATATGGTCAATTTAATCTCAACCAGAGATAATGATCTCAACTAATAAATCCGAAATTTTACCATCAGCTGGTATGGAAACACGCATGCGCACAAACCTGATGTACGTTTAATGCCCGTACTCCCGGTGGCAGATATTTTTTCCTTAACCAACGTCCCGAGTCCGCCCGCTTGCCGAGTCCCGCTGCTTTACCTAGGTACAGAAAAATTGCGAAGCTTCGAAACCAACCCAAACCCAACAACCCAACCCAACCGACCCCGCCCCATTGCCCCCCCCCGCCCCATTGAGTAAAAATTGTTCAACGAAGGAATATTCCTTTAATTACATTTTATATTATATAACTTAAAATATTAATGTAAAATTAAATATAAATGCTTTTAAGGCCACATTGTATTATTTCGGTATATAAATTCTATAAAAAAAAATTAAAAAGAGTTGTAGAGGCGCCAAGTTCGATACTTTGCGCCTCGCATGCAAAGCAGGCACCCTTCCATCGAGCTACCGAGCTTATTGTAAAAATCCTATAGTCACTGAATTCGCAAGCGCGAGATGACTCCGTAAAGCAGCGAGCGGGACTCGGCAAGCGGGCGGACTAGGGGACGTTGGTTAAGGAAAAAATAATCTGCCTCCCGGTGTACTTCTAGCCGGTTAACCTAAAAAACATATACCTATAAGTTATAGGCTATAACTCTATAGGTATATGCTAAAAAACCGTTTTTGTCGTTACGTTTAAAAATAAAATGGGTTCGGTTCCGGTCCGGTTTTCTGTTCAAAAACGGTCCGGTCCGGGTCCCTGATTTATATACAAATTTAGAAACAAAAATAAGGCAACCGAGAGTCTCGTTACCAAAGAAAACGTTTTTGAATCTAACGCCCACACGTCTGATTCGGAATAGAATTATTTAAAATAAATTTGCCAAGCTTCATTTATATATTTCCTTTCCTTTCCTAAATATACCTTTTGCAAGCCGCAGTAGCATTTATAGATTATCTATAAATGCTACCGCGGCATACGGGCGGCGGGAGTTCCATCGTTGGAATATTTTTGTTTTGGTTTTAATAGGTATTGCTTGTTTATATTTTAATTTTCTGGTTATATGTTATAATCCCTATAGGGATTTTAATGTTACCTGTTTTTATATTTTTTACTTGAATTAATTATTTTGCTTACATTCCTTGTCTTTTTTTTTGCATTAAAAAAAATTGTATCCTAAATTTGGATTCCAAACATTAAGCCAAAATAGAGCGGGTGTAGCGAAATTAGGATAGATTCGGCTGTAACGGAGCGTAGCGGAATTTTTATATTGTTGTAGCGATATTTGTTATTTTAGAGCTGGCAACACTGGTTATATGTTATATCCTTTTTCTATGGTTATATCCTTTTTCTATGTGTTATATTTGTATTTGTTATACGGGTTTTTATTAGACAACAGACAGCTAATATGCAAACCATTTGTTATATCATATAACTTATATGATGCAAACATAGTTTTTGTGAAGACCATGGTGGAAGACTGTCTATGACTTGCGTTGTTTTGGTAAAATGAATCAATTTAGCAATAAAACAACCCCATGGGCTGGTTCAAATACCTCACCCAATTTAGTTAAGCAAGGAAATAGTATACAATCTTCAATAATTAATCAAGGATTAGGAAATATAAATACCACAGGAATGATTCAGTTTCAACAACAGCAACCTCAGCAATGTTTTCAAAATTCTATAGGGTTAGGACAACAAAACATAAGCTTAGGTTTACAACAAATAGCTAATAATGCAATAAACACTGCAAATTTAAATTCGCAAATTGCATCAAATCCATTATTTCAAGTACCAACAGTAAGTTATCCTAATCCAAGAGGATTGAATCCCACTGCTTTTCAAACGCAAAGTATTTCTTCAGTCCCATTAGCACAAATTTCTGGTACTAAACAGAGATTTTTTACTGGTACAGTTACAAAAGTTCATGACAATTTTGGATTTGTTGATGAAGATGTATTTTTTCAAACAAATAATTGTGTTAAAGGATCTAACCCTTTGATTGGAGATAGAGTTTTAGTTGAAGCCACCTACAATCCCAGTATGCCATTTAAATGGAATGCTACAAGAATTCAAGTTCTTCCAGCCACAAATCAAACAAAAGGACAATTTAATTCAAAAAATTATTCAAATAATTACAAATCAGTTCCCCCGCCAATTGAAAGACTTGGTCAAACTATAAGATTAAAAGGAAACATATGTGGTAAAGGAAGAGATCTTTCAATTGAAAGAGATGATGAAATTGAGAGAAAACGCAGGCGTCAAGAAAGAGTTATGGATTGGGTAAGGGAAGAGAAGAAATCTCCTATTTGTAGATCAAGATCTCCTAAACTTAAAAGAAGGTCAAGAATTGTGCCTCGTTATATGGTTCTGATCCCTAAAATAGCTCTGGATGTGTAGGTAATTTATTAAGAATAATTATTATAACTAATATTTATAATTTTAGATCACAAGCAAATGTTTTAGAAATAAGAAGAAGATATTCCAATATGTATATACCTTCTGATTTCTTTATCAGTAACTTTCGTTGGGTTGATGCTTTCCCACCAGATCAGCCATTTACTTTAAATAAACCTTGTTTATTTCATATTATGAGAGAAATTGAACCAATAGCAGATAAAGATGCCATAATAGAACCACCTGATGCTGATTATATTTTTTCTGCTAAGGTAAACAATAAATAAAAATACTGTCCTTATACAGTGTGCCTCAAAAAATGGCTCACTTATGACATACCATTATGAGTTAAAAATAAATAAATCTGTTAACAATCCAATTGCTCTACCATTTTGAATTTTGGCCAGGACTTTGTAAGAAACTAAGAATGTAAGAATCTAAGGTTCCATAGAAGAAAATCCATCATTAATTAGTTTTTTAGGCCTCAGTTTAAAAACGTAATTTTTTCTATATGTTTAAGATAGCATTCTAAAGCCAACAGATGGTAGTTTACCTTATTTAGGCCTTATTTAGGCCAGTATATGAATGTGTGGACTTCTAGATAAAAATTTGAAACCTATAGGAAATTTAGTTTTTAACTTTAATTGCCTGTTATGCTCGTTTTGTTATTTTTATCCTTTGGGCTTGTCCAGGTGCTTTAAAAAGTTTTTTGTATATTTTTATCATTATATATAATACATATGTGGGCGTTTCTCTGTAAACTGGTCAACTTGAAGTAAGAAATTGTCTAGGCAAGTTTTTTTGTTATATTTTTGTTGTATTTAATAAATGTTATTCGAGGAATAAATATCGGTATACTTATTAGTATACGGCAGATGAACCAAAAATAGTCCTATTACTTTGGAAAACATTGAGCATTTTCTGAAAAATCTATACTGGGGACTGTTTATAAAATCCGGAGACAAAGTTTAGATGACTTTTTTGGAATTACAAAATAATAATTATAAAAAATAAATAAGTCATAGTAACAAGCAAACAATATTGGTTGAATAATTAAACAATTAGGTTGATTCCAATAGTTACTGTCTTTAATTAATTTAGTCTGAAGTGACCATTTTGCTTTGGTGACACGTCAGGGGACTGGTTTTTAAGGACTATAAAAACGATTTTGATACATTAAAGTTTATTTTATTGGATTTTGAACGTCGAGCATAGGTAGATTAGGTTATTATCTTTTGAAGTTATCTACGAAATATTTATGATCTGTTATTTTTCTAAACAATATTAGCTTGAGACAATGAGTTGCCCAGTTTACAGAGAAACGCCCATGTATGTATACATATTAGGGTGTTTCAAAAAAATCGACTTTTTTTCAAATGGTCAGCAAATTCTTTCAGAGGATGTCAAAACAAAGACCTCGTTAAAATTTGAGCTTTTAATTTGAAGATTTAGAGGTCTCGGATCGCAATTTTCTATTTTCCCATTTAAATAACATAGGAATTTTTTTTTTTAACTTTGGAATTTTATACGTCTATATCGAATCAACTTATGGCAAGGAACATCATAGATTTTTACAGTAAATTTAACGCTCTATAAAAAATGTCTCTTATAATTTTTCTATAAATTGATTTCTTCCAGAGTTATTCAAGGCCAAAGTTTGATTTCCATCGAATTTTCTAGTTTTTTCAACTTTTAGCATCATGTAGTAAAAAAATCAGATATTTATATCTGAAACATAGGAAGTGTTGTAAAAAAACAAAAAAACAAAAAAACGTCACTTTTTTCCAAAGCCTACTACAAAGTTTTAATGAAAATATGAGATGTGTATAATATGCAGAGTAATTTATATATAAATGCATTTTTCTCGAAAATTGTGCATCTGAGCAATTCAAATCAAGAGTACCTATTTTTCGTAAAAAACTATAAATTCTCATAATTTCATAAAAAAATTAAACTATTAACCCAGAAAAAAGTTGGGGCTATTTTTTTAACTTTGCCTCCTCCAAATGTTACGCCTATGATTAAATTTTAACAGTTACAGTAACAGATTCAGCATGTCAAAATTACCAAAGTACCGAAAATTTATTTGTTCATGTTCAATAGGGTGGGCCGAAAAACGTAAAAAAAAAAAAATATTTGAGATATTTATTTTTGGGTAGCAATAAAAAGTTACCTTATGTTAAAAGTAATTTATTAGAAAAAAATGTAGCGTACTAGCCCATTATTTAAGGGTCCCCCGGGGGCCCAAAATATTTTTTTTTGTATGTTTTGACTGGGGTGGGAACAAAAAGTTACCTTATGTTAACAGTAATTCTAGAAAAAAAAAATGAGCGTACTAGCCCAATATTTAAGGGTGCCCCGGAGGCCCAAAATATTTATTTTTATCATATTTTAATTTGGGTAACCACAAAAGTTACCTTATATTAACAGTAATTCTAAAAAAAAAAATGAGCGTACTAGCCCAAAATTTAAGGGTGCCCGGAGGCCCAAAATATATTTTTTGTTCATATTTTAATTGGGGTAACCACAAAAAGTAACCTCATGTTAACAGTATACTAGTATGTTTAGAAAAAAATAGCCATTCTAGCCCAATATTTAAGGGTGCCCTGGGGGGCCCAAATTTTTTTATATATATTTTAATTGAGATGGCAACAAAAAGTTACCCCATGTATTATTGCATAGACAAACCAAATGCCTGTATTTTTTATTAAGACGCCTTTTGATGAAAAAAATTAGCAACTCTTAGCTTGATTTTATTAAATTTAAAAAAGATTTTGCGTTACTCTAAATTAATTAACACAACCACTATCGAAATAAATAAAGTCTTAAAAAAAGTAAATGCCTGGTCAGTTAATCATAGACTTCAGTTAAATGCCAAAAAAAATCTTGTAATAAATATTGGTACAGTATATATGATAAATAAAAAACAATATAATTTTAATACCATACATATAAATAATATAGAAATACCTCAGCAAGAAACAGCAAGAAATCTGGGTGTTATTTTTTATACAAACCTGAACTTTGAAAGTCATGTTACAAGACAACTTAGTTTGTGTTATATGAAGCTGAAATTACTATATTAATTTAAGTATGTTCTAAATTCTAACACCAAGTGCAAAATTGTTTCAACATTAATATACACCCTATTATAGACTATTGCATGCCAGTCTACTACTCATATCATACTGAAACATTTAAAAATAAAGTCATGTATTAGATTCATATATTTAGTCGGAAAATTTGACCCCATTACTTCAATCTATTTGGAAAACAAGCATTTAAAAATAATTGATCCTTACAAGCATAATTTTGGAAAATTAGTGCAGAAAGTAAATACCTAATAATTGCCTGAATACCTATTCAACAACTTTATTCAAAGATCCAATAAACACAATCTTGATTTAAGACACAATCTTTTTCAAATACCTAGTCACAAAACTTCAAAATCTAAGGATTCGTTTATAGACCTATCTATAGAACTTTTGAACGATAAAACATTCTTTAACATAATATTTAAATATCCAACACATTTAATTTAGAGTACAAAAATTTGTTATTAACTGGTGTGATATGAAATTATAGGATTTAGTTTAATTAATATGTGATATGCAGAATAAAATAGATTTAATTTCTTAGTAGGTGGTATGGAAGAACGTCCTTACGAACGCAGCCTTTTGTGTAATTAATTTTGTGTTTTACGCAATAAAGCATTTTTATTATTATTATTATTAATTAATTGGATATTTGCTCCTCCAGTTCCATCCGCTCCCTCCCACCCAGTTTTTTATTATTTAAATAATAGACTTGTTGTCATATAGGCCGGTAAAGATGTCCGCGCATCTATACATATATATACTATATGGTTATAACCATTTCTTGCTACCTCACAGCAAATTTTTAATGCAGCTTCTGCTACAAGCTTCACAAACTTTTTCACGGCTTGCCTGTAAAAGGGAAACTTGCCGAACCTTATATAGAAGTCTCCTGCTCGACTTATAAATATTTTTAGTTCTTTTATTTAAAAAAAACATTTCCAAATTTATAAACATTTTTAACCCTAGAATTTGCTAAACCGCCAAATTTTTTACGTCAAACTCCAATATTGGACATTTTTTTGTAAACATATTGTTAACATAAGGTAACTTTTTGTGGCTACCCCAATTAATATATAAAAAAATAATCTTGGGCCCCCGGGCCACCCTTAAATATTGGGCTAGTACTCTAATTTTTTTTTTTACAATTATTGTCAACATAATGTAACTTTTTGTTGCCACCCCAAACAAAATATAAAAAAAATAATATTTTGGGCCCCCAGGGGGACCCTTAAATATTGGGCTAGTACAAATGCTAATTTTTTTTTACAAACTACCTTTGGCATAAGCCCAGATAGCAAACGTGAATACGAAATCACGCGTGAGTGAATAATGTGTGCTATATGATTTCACACGTGAAGTCTTGAACTCGTAATTCACACGTGAGTAGATTATGAATTCATATTATAGTCTCGTGTGATTTAATCGATTTTATTTTAAAATACATGGATTGCATGATTAAAAACTGCACGTTTAAATATAAATAGAATATTAATATTCTAATATCAAAAATATTATTATATATATATTTAATATTGTATGTCATTATAATAAATTATAATTATCTCTGGTAACACCCTCCCTTTCCCCATGTCATAAGACATTTTCAGTCACAATCTTTATTTTAAATGTTTTAAAATACACAAATTAATTATTAGGTATAGGGTAAAACACCCAGTTATTGGCACCTTAAGCAGCTTATCAGAATTTTTGTAGTTTTTATGTAACTAAAAGTAAAGCAACCTAATTATCCCTTTAAATGGAAAGTCTTTAAAGATTCTTTTATAGTTTTCAAACAAAACATAACTCAAAAATAAGTTTTATAAGTAAAAAAAAATATTTTTTTTATTTTATGTAACTTTTCCAGTCATTGGCAGATATCTCTAGTCATTGGCATTATAACTTAACGTATTATTGGCATCAAGTCCCAGTGTTTGGCAAAAGATAAAATGCAGTAATTGACGCTTATCCTAGTCATTGGCATGTAACTGGATCCAACTATTAACCATTTTCCAAATTCTATTTTGTACAAAATAAATAAACGAAAAAACTAAGAAAATGGTTCTAAACAACTGCTCACTAAAATGATACAAAATAGGCAATTAATCCTAACAAACTAAGATAAAATATTGTTAATTTAGTTTAATTTTAAACGCCTCCAAAGCCTTGCAAACTTT